ACATTGGCTGTTGTTGAACACAAGCCATAATAATTATCTCCTAACATAATTATATCGTTACGGTAATTCCATTCCTAAGATTGTATCAGGGTTGTCTATTTCAAATTGGTATTTTGGGTTGTCTTTTTCAAATTGGTATTTTGTTTAAGAATATTTATTTTCTATAACACATGCACTCGACTCGACCTTATTCCCTAAGGCTATTAATTTAATATCTACTCTCCCCTTGCGAGTTTTAAAGCCTGCCTCTAAATATTTTATCAGTCTCATGGAATGTCGTGCGGCGCCACGAGGGGTGACTATCGCGTTTCAGTACAGTCCAATATTGAAAATGTAAATTTCAGTTCAATTATTTAACTATATTTGATTGTTTAGTCAATATTTTACGTCTTTAATGTAGAACTTAAGATAACTTTGATTATTATATAAGAAGCTTAGAACAGTAAAAGGCGTAGTTACCTACTCGAAATTTATTTCAATGACGTCTCTGCGTCGTCTGCCGTGTAAACTAGAGCTTAGTCTCGCTCTGAGGGATTATCTGTATTTGAGGGAAATTTTTCCTGAGCTCCGCCATTCCCGTCACGTATCAGCCTTTCATCTCGCGCTGTCGTGTCGACCCCTTAGTACCTCCCAACTATTACCCCAGCGCTACACTGTTCGACACAAGACTAAGACGGAATAAGTGACGAATTTATGTCGGTACCGTCTTTGTGTTTTACAATCACTACCTACATTTGTTTTCATTGTGTATCCCCAAATGTATTTGGAGTAGATTCTTTGTATTTTTTGTCGATACTAGCAAGCACTGATTCAACCTTTATCGATAACTTTTATTCCATCGCAAAACATGAATCGATATTCAGCGGTCACGCGAACATCGATTGGCGATTGCTGTTGATTCATTAGCTTGCGTCCGAATGCCTCTTCAAATAAACATTACTCGACCAAATTGCTCTCTGGTAATCGTTTTTCGATTGTCCTCGGCGTTTGTGGTTATGTTGACTCGGGTTGGACGAGGGTGTTCGTGGGGTTCATATTGCGTCGCGAATTCTCGATCCCTTGTTTTAGTTGACTTGCCATAGTAGTTATTTTGGTACCGGACCTGGTTACCAGCTGCTGCTCATTATGAGTCTATTATTCTTCGTTCATCTAGCAATTTTTTTACTTTCTATATTTTAAGTACTCTTTACAAATATATCACATCATAAACATCATAAGGCTGAATGAATACGGAAACGTCACAACTTTTGAGAGCTGATTTTCATTAAGCTCGACTAAAGAGAAAAGCTGAATTTTGTTTTTACATCGTAATTAAATTGGATATGCTGTGGTTTCAATGCCACAGTTAACATTAAACCGGGCCTTCGAAGTTTACTACTCCCACTATTCGACTGTATCAATAAAGGCTTAGATTTACCTAATGTGGTCACCATTGTCTTCTTTGAATAGGCTTGGCGAAATTTTTGACAAAAAAATCACGCCTTTTTTTTGCTTTTTCCATTTTCTCTCGGACTCGGACAGAAAAATTGGTAGAAAAATAATGATGCAACTTATTACAATGGTACTTTACTTTTATATAGGTACAAATATTATTATTAATTAAGTATGTAATGAATCTAGCTACTTACGGAGTTATTTTTACACGCTACTCAAAAGCTACTAGCTTCGTCAGCTAAGCTAGGTCTTTGTTTTTGAAATCGCCCAGCCCCCCTAGCTTGAACACCGCGATTTGATATATAGCTCGTTTCTAAAAGGCTCAATTATCAAATTACTATGGAGGTTGACATTAAGCTGCGTTAAAAAACCTGATACAATGTAAATGTGGTGCTGCATGATCATTCTACGGGGACAGGTACTCTTATGTCAGGTGAGGATGATTTAAGCCGATTCTGTTGTGTATTATCTATCACGTCAATTGGTAATAAGTCTGGCGGAGTGAAGACGATGCGGGAACACCGCTGATTTGTATATATCTATGTGTAGCTCACCGGAGATCGGCGCCAGTGAAGAAACCACTGGGCAAACCTAGGACTAAGCAACCTAAGAAGGTCAAATTTATAAGTAAGTGTTTAAGGCGTAGTAAATGTATAATTTTGTCTTTGAACAAGACTTTTTTGTGCGAGTATTTGTTTTTTTTTTTTGCTGAGCACTTTACCTGCTTTTTCGTATAAAACTCAAGCTTAACAATTTCTGCAAACAGTTTAATTGAAATAAGAAGATTGTCATCTTCATATCTTTGAAAAAAGATTATGAGGCATAAAATTCGTTTCGGAGTGAAAAGTTCTCGAATGTGAAATCGTGGGGAGAGATAAAAGCGACTGGCTTTTAGAAGTCAATAACAAATTACAGGTCCCGCCATCTAAATTCTTCCTTGCCTAGACCGAAATATATCGACAGCTGGTCATGTCGAAGTTTTACTGTGAGACTGTTGAGAAGGCAATTGCTCCACCAGCTGCTAGCTAGGGATAATATTAGGCCGGTTATTAATATGATGATTTAATTCTTCACTTATTCTGTGTATTTAAAATTTTATGCGAATTTTCGCTATTGTTTTTCTTGTGAATGCTATTTTGGATACGGTTTTGTTTTGTATGTCATCCTCCGTATATTTCAATGTTCAACTAAATTCTTAAATTCTGCCTTATCATTCTCATTCAGTAACGTTTTCTATGTCACAAATACCTATTTTTAATAGGTTATTTCGCCTTTACACAATATGGCATTGTATATAATATTATACCAACCGTAGAAAGAACAAGTTGTCGGTTGATTGTCAATATTCCTTAATTCACCTATTGATACAGAAAAGGTTTACCCGACGATTTTGCAATTACCTTCCAATCTTAGTCACCCTCGTACGTACGAACGATAAGTGTCCAGGAAAGCTTTATCAAATTCTGCCTTGTGCGCTGTAAATAAGACATATTTTGGTTGGGCATGTGCTAACAAGATATTCGTGAGTCACTGGAGGAGGCTTCTTCACCCCTGCAGTAATTAAACAAAGCCTCCCCGGCTTCCACTCGCTCAGCCGGGCGGGTGTAATGGCCGACCTTGAATATTGCGGGAATATCTCGGGCCCTCTGCTTTTTAAAATTCCATTGTGAAAATTGGTACGGTGTGGGTTAATTAAAGGTACATTTTGTAACTTACCTTCGGGGCTGTTCATTTGAGCTTTTATTAAAATGTTATTAACTTTGTTATAAGAAGCTATATCTCGCATAAGAAAAAACAGCTTGTTACCAAAAACGATTACAGCAACGCTTAGATTTATATAACTGAAAAAAAATATACAAAATACAAGTTCTCTGAATCGTTCAATGCCGACTACTTTAATCTCAATACAGACATTTTCTTTTACCATCTAGCTTACTCGGAGAAGACCTAATCGCGCTATTGATATCATCATTAAAAAACTAATCATAGTATGCCACTAAATTGTAATTGAAATAATAATAAATATTAATTTTCTTATCCATTTCTTCAACACACATTTAAGAAAAAGCAACAGCGTTTCTCACAATTTATTATCTTGCTCGCAACTTTTTTTCACCAGTATCATGAAATTGATGGTATCTTCTTAAACTTGATTAATGTACTAACTTTGGCCGTTAAACAAGACGGCATTATCTACTGTCGTTTAGGGTGTATTTCTCAAATAATTTGCTGAGCTGCTTAGATTTTAGTATTTATTAAAATTTTATCGTTCATCATTTATCTTTTGTTAATTTTCGCAGTACGTTGTTTGGTGTTTGTGCCCAATGTCCATAGACAAGTAGGAATCACGATAGGATTGTTGCACTTTTACTAACAGCATAATGCTATGCTCTTAGCACTTAGAATAGAATAGAAAGCTTTATTGTCATGCTTTTACATTGACTAGATCTATTATGGATCTACGGAGAATTTTAAGTAATAAAATATCCCTTATTGTCATGCTGAGTATAATGGTGTTTCAACAAGTAATGTATTATTTCCCAACAGCCGCCTGTTTCGGACGTGCAATATTCAAAATCGATGATAAAAGATATTCAAAAATACTCTTTTAACTTTAAATTGATATTTACAAGACCTCTTAATTTGGACAAAACCAAAGTTTATTTAAAGAACTGAATAGTATGTTAACTAAACCGTCTCAAACTAACGTTAGGCTGTGAGACAACCTATGATTTAGCAACACTATGCAACACAGTTCAATTAACTTAATCCAGTGCTGTTAATTAGAAGGATAAGTTATGAGATGAGGCTTTGGGGATGATATAAGTAATTTTCTTTATTTCCGTTAACCTTCATGCTAAACTTGCACCTAATGGACGCCGAGTTGCAAAACGCTGCAGAATCTTATAATTATGAGTTGGGTTATTTTCGTTTAGTCAGTCTAGGATGTTTCAAGCGCTTTTGTGAAAGTCTAAAAACTTTGCCTATATGCTATCAGTTCCCAAATTTACGGCAGGACGGTAGTTCGTTAAAGTAATGATTATTTTGATGTTTAGTGGATATTTGTCGTAGGTAAGATTATTTGATAAATTTGTTCGCAAACGCTGATTATTAGATAATGGCGATGACATTGCTTAATCGTACTGTTTAAGATTTTTTTTCTGCCGCTTCGCCGGCCGCTGCCGCGCAATGATCTGAACACTAACCTTACCTAACGTACTCTTAACTTTAGGTAAGGTTTGAAGCCGAATAACCCAAAAACCTAAGATATATCCTCAATCTTACTGTGACGACTCGCGTTTACACAAAAATCTTATTGTTTCTCAATAAATGTCATTATGCGCGTTTTCGCAAAATCCGTATTATAAAGGTATATTTTTATTTTTTAATCATTTAACTGCTAAAAGTTTGAAGGTAAAGAAAATTTTGCTAGAAAAAATCCACGCGGCGGCAGCAGACGGGACTCAAACCGCACCTTTCGCTATTCGCGTTTTGATTGGACACGTATGCGGTCTCCAGTCGGAGTGCTAACTATATAGGTAGTGATTATTGCTGATTGTCCACAGCCACTGAGATCCGCTGCCAGGAGATGTCGAAGGGCGGGCTAGCGTACGAAGTGATCTTGGCGGAGCCGGTGGGCGTACCGGTGCCGCGCCGCGCCGACTCGCCCGAGAAGACTGCCTCCGTCGAAGAGATACAGGAGAAGCTCAAGGCCGCGGAGGAGAGGAGACGTGTAATTATAGCAATACTTGTTTACCATTGGACGACGCTTTCACTGTCGCAGCCTGCAACAGAATAGTTTATCTGCTTAGTTAATAAAAAATATCAAATTTTCTTTGGTTCTTCCAAACCGGAAATGTCAAAATCGATGTAAAGAAATATCTTTAGAAAAGTTGTTAACGCGCCAGCTATTTTCACATGTGGGCTGTTGTGGTGTTAAACCAAATGAATTAGGTAATCTTTCTTTAATTTTGCGTTTGGATGCTTCTGCTAGTCTCGAATGTGAAATGAACCGTAGATATACGAAGCCTCGATAATTATTGCGTTTTTCAAATTATTGTCACACAATTGTCTATAAGCTGCTGGGCAGCTCGCAAATTTAAAAGGATAAAAAGAAGGTTGTGCATTAAAAATTACTCCTATTCCAGAGTTTGGAAGCTAGCAGGATGGCGGCGATCGCACAGAAGATGGCCAGGATCGAGGAGGCGTCCCGCATCCGCATGGAGCAGACCAACAGCTTCATCAGCACCACCAAGGAGGCGCTCGACGCCAAGATGGAGACCCACGAGGAGAAGCGCGAGGCCTACATTAACGAGCTTCGCGCCAGGCTCAAGGACCACCTGGAGGGAGTCGAGAAGACCAGGTACAGTATCGCTGTCACTGTAGCACGACAATGTTACCACTGTAGAGACGTACGAGGCTGACATCAACGAGCTGCGCGCCAGGCTCAAGGACCACCTGGAGGGAGTCGAGAAGACCAGGTACAGTATCGCTGTCACTGTAGCACGACAATGTTACCACTGTAGAGACGTACGAGGCTGACATCAACGAGCTGCGCGCCAGGCTCAAGGACCACCTGGAGGGAGTCGAGAAGACCAGGTACAGTATCGCTGTCACTGTAGCACGACAATGTTACCACTGTAGAGACGTACGAGGCCTACATCAACGAGCTGCGCGCCAGGCTCAAGGACCACCTGGAGGGAGTCGAGGAGACCAGGTACAGTATCACTGTCACTGTAGCACGACACTGTAATCCACTGTAGAGACGTACGAGGCTGACATCAACGAGCTGCGCGCCAGGCTCAAGGACCACCTGGAGGGAGTCGAGAAGACCAGGTACAGTATCACTGTCACTGTAGCACGACACTGTAATCCACTGTAGAGACGTACGAGGCTGACATCAACGAGCTGCGCGCCAGGCTCAAGGACCACCTGGAGGGGGTCGAAAAGACCAGGTACAGTATCACTGTCACTGTATCCCGACACTGTAATCCACTGTGGTGACGTACAAGGCCTACATCAACGAGCTGCGCGCCAGGCTCAAGGACCACCTGGAGGGGGTCGAGAAGACCAGGTACAGTATCGCTGTCACTGTAGCACGACAATGTTACCACTGTAGAGAAGTATGAGGCCTACATCAACGAGCTGCGCGCCAAGCTCAAGGACCACCTGGAGGGGGTCGAGAAGACCAGGTACAGTATCACTGTCACTGTAGCACGACACTGTAATCCACTGTAGAGACGTACGAGGCTGACATCAACGAGCTGCGCGCCAGGCTCAAGGACCACCTGGAGGGGGTCGAGAAGACCAGGTACAGTATCGCTGTCACTATAGCACGACACTCTACCACTGTGGAGAAGTACGAGGCTGACATCAACGAGCTACGCGCCAGGCTCAAGGACCACCTGGAGGGGGTCGAGAAGACCAGGTACAGTATCACTGTCACTATAGCACGACACTCTTACCACTGTGGAGAAGTACGAGGCTGACATCAACGAGCTACGCGCCAGGCTCAAGGACCACCTGGAGGGGGTCGAGAAGACCAGGTACAGTATCACTGTGACTGTATCCCGACACTGTAATCCACTGTGGTGACGTATGAGGCCTACACCAACGAGCTGCGCGCCAGGCTCAAGGACCACCTGGAGGGGGTCGAGAAGACCAGGTACAGTATCACTGTCACTATAGCACGACACTCTACCACTGTGGAGAAGTACGAGGCTGACATCAACGAGCTACGCGCCAGGCTCAAGGACCACCTGGAGGGGGTCGAGAAGACCAGGTACAGTATCGCTGTCACTATAGCACGACACTCTTACCACTGTGGAGAAGTACGAGGCTGACATCAACGAGCTACGCGCCAGGCTCAAGGACCACCTGGAGGGGGTCGAGAAGACCAGGTACAGTATCGCTGTCACTATAGCACGACACTCTTACCACTGTGGAGAAGTACGAGGCTGACATCAACGAGCTACGCGCCAGGCTCAAGGACCACCTGGAGGGGGTCGAGAAGACCAGGTACAGTATCGCTGTCACTGTAGCACGACACTGTAATCCACTGTAGAGACGTACGAGGCTGACATCAACGAGCTGCGCGCCAGGCTCAAGGACCACCTGGAGGGGGTCGAAAAGACCAGGTACAGTATCGCTGTCACTATAGCACGACACTCTTACCACTGTGGAGAAGTGCGAGGCTGACATCAACGAGCTACGCGCCAGGCTCAAGGACCACCTGGAGGGGGTCGAGAAGACCAGGTCCGTGCGGCGATGGAAGGCAGATGTGTGCATCTGAAGTGAAACTTTTCTTAAATAACCTTACATTAGGCGGTGCATAAAGCATAGGGGAATGCAGCAGCGCTCGCATCACTCATATATGAGGCCATTAGAACCATATTAGTTAGGCCACTATGGTTATAGTGGCTTAACTCACTTTTTAACCACAGTGGCCTATCTTACTTACGCCATTATGCTACCTCAAATTTAGATCACAGACTAAAAACCGTAACAGTGATTATACTGCCATCTAGTCAATATTCGTTGTATCACTTTTAGATCAGTCTGGTTCTATCAAAATGATCAATTTGAACTGGAAAAAATCATAAACACGATATTGTAAAAAATGAGTTAGGCCACTATGGTTCTCATGGCCTCCTATATATGTGGCGTGTGACGCTCGTAGCGTATTAGCCTTCGCCGAGTTACCCTTCAACTTTCCTGCTCTTTGGGAAGAGCTGCGCACGTATCCCACACACGCACACATATGTACATACAGGATTTTACAAAAATACAAATAAAGCTTGAAGGGCGTTGAAGTACATCATATAAGGAGTCTTCTCTAATTTTCTTAAAATATTTGCATGAAGTTTTAACTTTTACATGATCTTCGAACTAGTGACGTGTATTAAAATGATCGAAATGTATATTAATCATTAAAAATAACTGTTTTTATAAAAAGTTAAAACTTGATGCAAATATTTTAAGAAAATTAGAGAAGACTTCTATATGATATACTTCAACGCCCTTCAAGCTTTATTTGTATTTTTGGAACACCCTGTATATAGCCATGCGACGGTGGTGACGCATTTCCGTTTCATCTTTCCCATATGGTTTTTCCATTTACACCACGTCCGAAAAGAAGTTTCAGTTAAAAAAAACTTTCCGCTACCCGTTAAATGGCTAGATAGATATAATATAGACGAAACTCGAGTCGAACACAAGTGCAAGGGGAAGGAGCACACAAACTGTTCCACATACGTCAAGGGCTCCCCTTGAACTAATCGTGGAGGCCTTGCAACCTTGTGCCCAATTCTTTGTGTTCCTACCAAACACATTCATCGAAGGGGTAACAAAAGAATTCGGGTGCATTGTAGATTTCTTTGGAGAATTGAAAATGGCAACTTCGAAAATTAATATTTCCGTTATTTACTAATTTAAAAGGACTTTTTAAAATGAACGAAGAGTGAACATATTCAACCCTGAAATAAGTAACAACTACTATTTTACTGTCTGTCAGTCTGTCTGGCAGCGCCGTGTTTCTCGTGAACCGTAATAGATAGATCACGGGACACAGAAAGACGTTAGAAAAGTGATCAGAGACCGTTTATACGTCAGCCGATGTCGCCGGCTCGCCCCCCACTACACTTCCAACTAAAAGATAATAGTTCGGGAGGTAGCGTTGCATTTACGGCAGTGACGTTACGCCGATTGCTTGCCATCTTTTACTAGGCAGACGACATAGTAACAGCAATAGGGTTCCATTTTTATCCTTTGGGTACGGAACCCTAAAAAAGCGAGTGTCGTAGAACAATCAGTTGGAACTATGGTAAAAATAAAATAAAGTTTAAGTACACAACCAACTACACACAATAAGCTACGAAACAACTGACGATCGTGTCGTGACGGAAAAATCTTACAGTTTTTTTAGTGTAGTCGCTTTCCGTCAAGTTCGTACCTTGCATAAGAAAACTTCGTTCCAAAGATATAATATTACAGGGTGTTACAAGAATACAAATAAAGCTTGAAGGGCGTTGAAATACATCATATAAGGAGTGTTCCCTAATTTCCTTAAAATATTTGCATGATTTTTAACTTTTTACAAAAGCAGTTATATTTGATGAACCTCGAACTAGTGACGTGTCTTAAAATGATCGATATTTTTATTAATCATTAAAAATGACTGTTTTTTCAAAAAGTTTAAATTCATGCAAATATTTTAAGAAAATTAGAGAAGACTCCTTATTTGATGTACTTCAACACCCTTCAAGCTTTATTTGTATTTTTGTAACAGCCTGTATATAATTTATTTTCGATGGTGGCAGGTTGACCCTAGAGCAACAAACGGCGGAGGTGTACAAGGCGATCGAGGAGAAGCTTTCTACCGCCGCTGACAAACGCGACGAGAACATCAAGAAGATGTTGGAGCGTTTGCGTGAACATGTGAGTCAACTATAACTCTTGTTGTCTTTGCATTATGATCTCTTATCGAGTGTCTCGTGCACTGATTCCATATGTTTCTAAGAATTTCTTCTATGTTTCTAAGAGTTTCTAAGAAATTCTGTACACCCAAACAAGTCATATTACAAAATATATGTTTTTTCCAGTACGCAATGTATGGCGCGGCGCGCTACTGTGGCGCTATGCAAAGAATGTGCCTGTGTGTATTTGTGTGCGTGTGTGTAAGAGCGTCGATAAAAAAGTTTCAAATAACGTTTTGAAAATATTAATGTATAAATCTTGGAAAAAAAATTTTTACTTTGACCTTCATTATCTACATAACCATAAATTTCCCAGGTATGGTCCAGAAGAAAAATAATATCGTCATGATGTGGAAAATACGTGGCCTTCGACTTCGTTATAGGTTTTTTACACCCTGTATATACCTATAAAGTCTTGTTAAGGCTTCCATCTAGTCTCAACAGCACTAACCATTAAATCGTGATTGCTATCAGGAGGAGCAGGTGAAAAAGGTGCGCGCCGGCAACCAGGAGCGGTTCCAGCAGCTCGAGGCTGCCATCCAGGACAAGCTGCAGCACGCGGCCGGACGCCGTCTACAGCTGGAGGCCGAGCAGCGGGAGAAGCTGCGCAGCTACGTGAGTATGATGATACGCTGCAGCAGCTGCAGGCCGCATGTAGGACAAGCTGCAGCTCGTGGCAGACCAGCGGGACAAGCTGCGCAGCTACGTGAGTATGATGATACGCTGCAGCAGCTGCAGGCCGCATGTAGGACAAGCTGCAGCTCGTGGCAGACCAGCGGGACAAGCTGCGCAGCTACGTGAGTATGATGATACGCTGCAGCAGCTGCAGGCCGCATGTAGGACAAGCTGCAGCTCGTGGCAGACCAGCGGGACAAGCTGCGCAGCTACGTGAGTATGATGATACGCTGCAGCAGCTGCAGGCCGCATGTAGGACAAGCTGCAGCTCGTGGCAGACCAGCGGGACAAGCTGCGCAGCTACGTGAGTATGATGATACGCTGCAGCAGCTGCAGGCCGCATGTAGGACAAGCTGCAGCTCGTGGCAGACCAGCGGGACAAGCTGCGCAGCTACGTGAGTATGATGATACGCTGCAGCAGCTGTAGGCAGCATGTTAGCAGAGCTGCAGCACGTGGCCCAACAATAGGACAAGCTGCGCAGCTACGTGAGTATGAGGACACGCTGCAGCAGCTGCTATAGATATCTTGGACAAGCTACAATTGTTATATTCTTGACCAAAATACATTACGGACAAAAGTTATTCCAGTGATTCTGTTGCTATAGATACTTAACGCTCGCATGCTTCATGTCGTTCTTGTGACCGTGTCCTATTGTTTTGATCAATGTTTTTTAACTTCCTCAATTTCATACAATACATTATCATCTTTAGTGGCAATTCAGTTGATTAGACGTCAGTGGATAAAATCTCACCTTTACTACGATACGTAGATGTTAAAGACTTGCTGACGTAGAGTCCCAGTCCCGATCATGTTTGAAGTCATATAAAATTTTGGGTTTTTGTCGAAATAAGGATCACCATTTTCCTTATTTGAGATCCTGAGAGAGCATTACATCAAGCGTCATTCATGCTCAGTCATTATCAGAACCCAATTTCGATTCCAGTCCCCGTAGCATGGCCATTACATTATATTACGTTTTTTATCGCGTCTCACTGTTAAACTCCTTAGTAATGTAGGAATCCGAGCTGGGTGATGGTAGCTCGGGGGCCGCGGCCCGACTGATGTTGGTCGGGCATCGTATATATGAAGAGTTAGCCTCCGAATTTCATTTGCGCGATGTAGGCTTCCATACTATTATGATCGCAGTGCAGGTAACGCCATCTCTTGAGGATGGTGAGTAATGATTTCCTCCATCCGTTGTATATATATGTGGGGCATATAGATGTCGCCGCCACAGTAATTTGACAAATGAGTGTGATAAAAATGCGTTATATATCATATCGCGGTGCTCATGTGAGGGGTCTGGTTACGAGAATGTCGAAAACAACCTTTTCTGAGTTTATTTCGAATCTGGGTTTTGTGTTACTTCACTATAGCACAGACGTCTTTAATATGTACCTATATGATTTTTTTGTCGATTAATGCAACTGGTGATTCTGTTTTCAACATTATCATGTCTATTTATTTACTTAAGTCTTACTTCGTAAACAAAACGATGTTGTTAAAATTATACACAAATTCGTTTTGCAGCAATTGTGAACTAACTGAGTTACGACTTAAACCAAAACCTGAAAATGTCATTGCTTTTTGCGAAATAAGACTTTGTATAAAAGAAATGTACAGGCAGTCTTAGGTCCTGTTACCTAAACTTATAAAATTTCTCCAACTGACTTTGAGTTCTATTTCTCTCAGTATATAATAGGAATGATGACCATTTTTTTTCCTCGTTTATCAGGTTATTGGACACGTATTTTTTCTTTTGTCACATTATATAAACATTGCAGAGATATATTGATTTGAAAAGTCGCATGACGTCACGTTTTGGTACAATTTTCACTTAAAACTGACGTCACGAGCCCCTACTCCCAAACTTTGACGCGCTATAACTTTGTCATTTTTTGGTTGATTACCCAAAGAAAAAATACGTGTCCATTATTTTTTGATCATCTAACTGAAGGACTAAATAGAATTCGTTTACTGTAACCGCGTCATCACTCCTATTCATAATATATTTATTTGACACTGTGGCAACTCGATATATACCTGGTGCCATTATGATACCAATCGAAAATGCCGACGCAATACATTCCGTCTCTGTTGCACGTTACTTAGAACAGCATGTGCGAGAGGGACAGAATGTCTCACCTCATCGTTTTTTTAGTCGCGAGTTACACTGTACATTTCTTGTTTTGTTTGCATCGAAGCATGTTCATTACGATTTATTTGCACAATCATTATCATAGTTCCATCAATTTCCACCGTCATGTAGAACTCTAAACTGGCGGAGGCGCGTTCCTCCATCACCGCTAAGGTCGAGGAGATGACCAAAGAAATAGAGACGAAACTCACCGCCGCCGAGATCAACCGCGAGAAGGAGATGCAGAGGAAATTGGACTTTGTTAAGAAGGAGGTTGGTTCACAATCGAATTCCACGGGGGAAGTTGAAATAAAATTTTAGACTTCTCTTATTTGTCTTTTCAGCAATTTATATCGATTTTTCAAGTTGGTTCTCACTCCCATTGTGCTTATTATAAGCTTTTACATACTTTTACATTATAATTCTTGCATCATACATTAGGTGACATTGAATTATGTGTTAGAACTGCTTGGAATATTTTTTTTACGATTATCATTGGCCGTTCTTAAAAAAAGGTTATGGAGAGTCACAATAATTATCAAGTTATTGGGTACTAGTGAGTGTCTGCGACTTTGTTTGCGCGATTTTGTTGGTATCCTATACAAACGTTTTCACCCCTATAAAGGATGATTTCTGGGATAAAAATCTTATGTCCTTTCCCGGGACTCGAACTATTTCTAAACCAAATTTCATATAAATCTGTTCAGTGGTCTAACTGTGAAGAGGTAACAGACAGACACACATTCGCATGTCGTTGTCATAGCAATATCTGATGTGTGCATTTTTTGGACAGTACGACATTTCCATCATTATGATTACTAATTTAATGCTAACTGTACTAATCTCGATCTAATCGAATTTTCGAATACAAAGATTTGCTATTCAAATTTTTGCATTATTAAAGGCACAAAATAGATAAAACAGAAGGTAACCTCATTTATGTATTTCACTTTGCGTACCTACTATTATTTTGTTATTTAAATATTTTTTTCATCAACTAGAATATTGTTAAATATTAACTGCTACGTCCTTAAGTTATATTTTTGCCCATAACAGATATTGGTTGGACAACGACCATTTATAATATTAGTAAAGAATTTAGTTGTCAAAGTAATGTTTCAATATTATCTCACATCATCATCATCAGCCTATTAATGTCCCCACTCCTAGGGCACAAGCCTTCCCCATGGATGGAATAGGGAGATTGGGCCATGACCCACCACGCGAGCCCAGTGGGGATTGGCGGGTGCTAACGACTGCAGACGCAGCCGGGACCAACGGCTTAACGTGCCATCCGAAGCACGAAGGAACTCGAGATAGAAGATTTTCGGTCACCCATCCAATGACCGACCACTGCGAAAGTTGCTTAACTTCAACGATCGCAGCCGAATGCGCTAACCACTCGCGACATCGACTTCCTTTTATCTTATCTCACATACATATTATCTGTTTATACCAGGAGCGACGCGCGGAGTTAGTGCGGCAGAACAAGTGCGCGCGCGCCGACACCGACGCGCCGCCCGCCTCCGGCTAATGGGGCATGACCCACTGTCCCACCACCCACCACCCGGCCCCTACAAGTAAGCGTACTACACCCGCAGGTACCTAGGACATGTCGCAACACTGCAGAAAAAACTACGACATCACTCCATGCAAAGAAGAATAACCTCCAAATAATCACCAATTCACTACACGGGAAAACTACCTCAAGAATTACTACAGTCATACTTTCTCAATAATCAGATGGAAAAATTACCCTCCGAAGAATCTGTACTCCAGAATCATAAGGCAAGAACCACCATCCTACTGTGTCAAGATCCAGGAGAAAAATCTACCCTCCAAATAATCGAAAAAACTGAAGAATCGAGTCTTGACGACCTGAAAAAACAAGTAATCTCTGGAAAAACTGCGACTGTACTCTGAAATTTGACTTGGTTTTTACAATCTAACTTACATAGTTTTTAATGCAATACAGTACTTCAATTTGAAGAGTACAACCCCTGAAGTCTAAATAATGTCGTGGTAAAGAAAACCAGGGTGCTTCCTAGCATTGTTACAGAATCTAAATTCTACAGTAGACGAAATATTATACTAAGCTCTGATTTCTATAATCTAGGAATGAGCAAGTCATCAAATATTAGCCAGAACAGGTTACTATTAGCACAGTATTTCAGTGTTGCTATCACGAATATTTCGAGGTTTCAATATCGGCATCCTGTGGTGAGACCGAATAAATCGTTTGTATCGCAGTCCTGAGAATATGATAATGCTTACGAAAACACGCAAATGTATTATCTTAGATGTGTAAATGTGCAAAATGTGTGAGTGTATGTGGAGCCGAGTGGCCGGGGGCCGGCTTTGGGCAGTGTGGGTGACGCATGCGACGCCGGTGTTGCTACACGACAATATTGTAGCATAAACTCTGTGTTTACATACTCGACTTTTTTTTATTAAAAACAATCGCATGTCTTTAACGAAAATATTTTTTTTTAATATGAATCAATGGTGTTGTTTTATTGGTAATTAAATTATTTAATCAGTTTTAAATAAACAGAAATGTGGTTGATGGTGTGTGGTATTTTTTGTTAATGTTTATTAAATAAGTCGAGTGAGAAAAACGGACATTTCTCTTGTTGCACACCGGGCGTTGTTTGCGACACCGAATTAATTCCTTCGTTATCATGCTTGTGAAATAATTGAATCAAATTGTTATTTTTCACCGGTATATAGCAACATTGCTGACACCTTTTAAATATGGCCTATTTTACTAACGTTCAGTCGTGTATGTTACATAATGGCGCCCATTGCTAATATTGCAATGCACATTTTGTTCATTGTTAATATTGGTGATCGGATCTATGGGGGTTCTGTATCACAGAGTCGGTGTCAGTAAATTACCGGAAGTTGTGATTGATTGTTTTTAATTTGACATTGTAATAGTAGCTCAAATCGTGACGTGTGTGGTACGGAATCCCCGTTGAAATGGAATTGTTTTAAATTTATATTGTAAGCGGGCGGAATGAGGTGGTTCGATATTATGGCGACGGATACGAATCCTCTTATCGTTAGTTATAGACTTATATCATTATTTTTAACGCAACAGTATTTTAGGAACGTATAATCTAAATTTAAGTTTGTCTCGAATACGTATCGTTAATGAATCGCCATTTCGCTGTCAATAATTGATCGTATAATATATATTTTACTGAGTGCGTTGTCGATCTGTTGGGATGTCGTCGCGGGTAGTCATTTCTCGAGCGACCGCCGATGTCGCCGTCCGGAGTAGCTCCCATAAGAGTCCCGATTCCCGCGAATGTATCATTTTTAGCGCTCGTCAGCTTAATTAAATATAATCATCAGTCTGTGACACGTCACATCATCTAGTCTACACGTAAAAGTTTAAATAAAATAAGTCGTTTTTATCACTTCCTTTTATGATCTCAAAACTATGATAAAAGAAAAAACATATTTAAAACGGAAGATAGTAAACATCGGAAGTGCCTCAGTGTGTAAAGTGAATCGATTCCTCGGATGATATCAATAAAATAGTGACGTTAAAGTGAAACTGCCTTTCATAGCGTTTTATATTTGATGTAATAAGGGCAGCCGCGGGGTGCGGCCGCGCGGACGCTTCTGTGATGTTAGGCACAAAGTATATCCACGGTAGTAGCCAAGGGCGGATCCAGGGGGTCATGGGGGCCATGACCCCCCCCCCCCCCCTCCTGGGCTGGGTCCATCTGTACCCACTTCACAATCTGTACCCAGTGTGACTTGACCACGACTATATGACCCAGCCCGGCGCCAAAGCTGGATCCGCCCTTGTTAGTACGCCGGCCGGTTACGCGGGTTAGTCGCGCTAACTTTAAGTGAGAGTATTTTATAATATATATTTGCCATTCATTTAGCGTCGGTCTGTTTCAACGTGGAGGATATTGATAATAATTGTATATAATATAAGAGACGACCTGTTGCTTGGCGGAGCGGCTTGCCTGCTTCCACTCGATGTGCGCTGGTGCGAGGACTAGGTGTAAGTTCTAGCTTGTTTCTCGGTGAAGACGTGTTAACCTCTGACCAATTTGCCTTGGGTATTGTGTAGCCTTTTAGATTTATCACGATCGAGACGAATCATGTATAGCGATGCAAAGTATAGCTTTTCAGAATGATTAATTATAAATAATACTTATTATGTTTTTCGTATTTTTTTTATTATGTAATGTTAGTAACTCCTATTCTCTTATAAAGGTGTTTTATCGTTAATTTATGTATTTTTATGTGATGATTAATGTGCTTCAGTTTGTGAGGTATATGGAAATTGCTGTTCGAAGTGCAGGCAACTTTTGTAGTTTCATTGTCGTAATGAATAAAGTCATAAATACTAATATACATTTGTTTTATTGTTCTTTTCGCTAGTAGGCACAGACAAACACACATCAAGTTGCTACGAACTATCCTAATTCCCCCCTGTAGCATATGTCCCTACTGACATATATATATATATATATATATATATATCTATATCTCCGTAGAGAGAGATACTTAGATCTTTTTCCATTTATTGCTACTAGGTCGGATGTATGCAACTTTCTATTCCACATATCCCTACTGAACTGCACTGGTAGGGATAATAGGGATGATGACTAATTTTTTTTTCTTCGTTTATTCAGGTAGGTTATCAAAAAGTATTGGACACGTATTTTTCCTTTTTTCACATAATATAAACATTGCAGAGATTTATTGATTTGAAAAATCGCATGACGTCACGTTTTAGTACAATTTTCACTTAAAAGTGACGTCACGAGCCCCTACTCCCAAACTTTGACGCGCTATGCTATAACTTTATCATTTTTTTGTTGATTGTCCAAAGAAAATATACGTGTCCATTATTTCTTGATCATCTAACTGACGGACCAAATAGAATTTCGTTTACTGTAACCCGTCATCACCCTTATTGAATATTTTTTTCCATTTATCGCTATCAGCAGTTATAAGTTTTTAAAGGTTATTTGATCTTGTAAAAGGAAGAAAATAAAGTCGCAATATTGATTTTAATATAAACTAACCCGTACTTAATTACCTCCTGTTAAAAACCAAACTTAATAAAAGTCAACTTAAAATTTAAAATTATATTTGTATACCGTTTTACCCTAACCTAACCTAGCAAGTTTACCTGGGTGGACTCTGGAAACTTCGCCTGACCCTTGGTTTACCACTTTTTCATAATGAGAATCTTTTAGCCGTGTATGGTCTCCTGGTACTTTAAAGCGAAAAATAAATTATATTTTTCAGTATTCCTTGTACCAATTACGCAAAGCAAATTGATAATGTCATTAAGCCAATCAATAGGGATGATGACTAATTTTTTTTTCTTCGTTTATCAGGTAGGTTATCAAAAAGTATTGGACACGTATTTTTTCTTTTTTCACATAATATAAACATTGCAGAGATATATTGAATTGAAAAGTCGCATGACGTCCGTTTTGGTACAATTTTCAATTCAAAGTGGCGTCACGAGCCCCTACTCCCAAACTTTGACGCGCTTTATCTTTGCCATTTTTTGGTTGATTGTCCAAAGAAAAAATACGTGTCCATTATTTTTTGATCATCTAACTGACGGACTAAATAGAATTTCGTTTACTGTACCCTGTCATCATGCCTAAATAATATAACAAAAATACAAAATATTTTTAAAAAGATTTACTATTACAAGTAATTCAACAACTACTTAGTTAATCATATAAAAAAAGTCTTGAAAAATTATCCGTACTAGCAATTATTCTTACCAGTCCGGATCAGTAGGGATATATGGTTCCATATATCCAAACTTGAAACTGGTAGCGATAAATGAAAAAAAACACAAGTATCCCCACTAGTGGAGACATGTCAGGGGCAAATTTCTTTATAGACTGTGTTTCTGATATTTGTCAGTTTTGAGAAACTGGAGCTTTGGATGTCAGGACCATCAAGTAAGTAATTAAATAAAAAAAAATCAACAGTATCGATTCAGTGATTTATTTGTTTATGACATTTCGCATCCTTCGCAAAAAAAAATTCAGATCCTTTTCAGGCTGCGTCGTCAGAATAGGGTTTTTTAGAAAACGATCTCACATTATTGACTAATGTTTATGGAGTCCGTGAAAATGGATATTCATTATTCTGTTGTGTACTTCAGTAAAAATAACCAAATCAAAAACTCCATTTTCAAGTTGCCGCGAAAACGTTTTTCTGGACAACATAACAGTCGTATGACGTCACACACTAGTAAGACACTAGTGTGTGACGTCATACGACTGTTATTGAAACGTCAAACGATACAATGTAATGTCACTTTAACCGGAAGTTTACTTGCGTGTGACGTCATTTTGGGCTCCGCCAATCCCAAGCGTTTTGGGTCACGTGACAGTAGTTAAGAAAACTATTATCTTTTTCGTGGGTTTCTAGTAAAATTCTGAATATGAATATTTTTTTTGTATAAATAGTAAAAAACCCTGCCAATATTCATTCTAAGCACAGATGCTAACAATTGGCACTTTATTTTTATTACTGTCAAATACCCTATTATATAATTTTGACGACGCAACCTAAAAAGGATGATGAGTGGTGTGCGTGAAAACCTAAGTAACAAATAAGTAAGTAATTGCTCAATAAATAAGCCCACTAACCAACGCCCACTAATAGTGTAACTTGATTACATGGGCATTGTTCGGTTAATAAAGATTATCATTTTTTTTGTGTCTAGCTAGCCTGCGTCAGGTGTAATGAATATATAATTTAGATAATAATAGGCTAAATATTTTACCTAATAATAGGCGAACTGGCGATAAAATTCTATTTGACGCCAATGGTACCTACTACTAGTATTACCTATGTAAACGGGTAAAAAGCAGAGCTTTTATGTATTCAAAATACACAATCGTTTATTCAGTCTAGGCTCAGACCAAATAAAAAGTATAGACGGAGTCTGCCGAACCAAAAAGTGAAGCCGATAAAACTACGCCTCGCCGTGTACATACACAGTTACACGCACACACATGCAACGAAACTACGCCTTGACTTCTCAGTCGAGCTATCCCGACGCGCGGAGTGTGACGTAATAATAAATAACAATATTTATTAGAGAAAATGCCGAATTGTGTAGTGAAAACGTGTAAAAACCAATCTTCCAAGAATAAAAAACAGGATGGAATCACATTTCATACGTAAGTAAAGTTATAAACTGCTATTTTCAATTAATCAAAATCAAATTTGAGATTGTCGCTTTGTAAACAAAACCTGGACGAAATGTTGCCATGATTATTCGTTACAGTTTTACCCTTTTGTTGTTTGGTGAAATATAACGTAACGTTGGTGTTGATTCTGGCGTGATTCTCTGAACTTAAAACGAAATTTAACATCAGTCTCACCTTTTCATTCTGTATAGAGAAGGACAAGGATGCACTGTTGTCAAATTTAAGTTTAGCTTTAGAGAATCATGCCAGAATCAACATCAATATTTTATTAAATACATTGTGTGGCATACTTTTATATTATTCGAATATTGTAATGCATGGATAAACAATTACACGAAACATCTTTTTTCTTTATGTATTCGTATAAATTTTTTGGGATGTAATACACATTATATATTATACGTTTTTTTTTAAGATTTCCTAATCGAGATCAAGATCTAAAAGAGAAGTGGATTGCAGTCATTCGTAAGAGTAGAAATGAACCATTGTGGCAACCAGCTTCCCGCAGCGTAGTTTGTTCGACTCATTTTCAGAGCGACGATTTGTACTACACAACAAAAGGGTTACGTCGTGTCAAACAAAATACATATCCAAAGGTATTTTTACTATTATTATGGTTACTTAGATTAATTTATATTTTAAAGATTCCAATAATTTATTTGCTAACTGCTTATTGTTTGTACAAGTCCCACCATCTATCATGTTGTGGTAGAACTACTTGCTTCAGTTTCCCCATTTTGCCGTATTATGCTACTAAATTAAAGCGAACTTACTTGAATTAAGTATCATTGTTCAATAATACAATAGTAAAAATAATGTTAATTTGGTACTTAGCTAATTTTAAACTCAACCTTGACCGCAACTGTGCACACTAGAAAAATGCCTCATCTAATGTGCACACCGTTTTAAGATGCATCTACTTTTTAATGGCCTTTTTGACCCAAAATTTGCGATGTTTGTGGATTTATTTTATTATGTTCTTGTATAGGAACTAGTGATTATATTTTGTGTATTCTATAGAAAATTTCATGTACATTTTAATAAAAGAAACTGTTTATCAACATTTGTATATGCTTTTCGTTTTATCGACATAAAGTTGAGATGACTGATTTGTAAGCGATTTCAAGTGCCTTGTTGCGAGTGCTTAAAACTATAAAATGAACAAACCTATTCCATCCGGGACTTGTAACTAAAGTAAAATAAACAGGGAAGATGCAATATTTTTATTTTTGTTTTCATTTTAAAGAATTCCATGTAGAATAAACCACAGATATATCAAAAAATTAAAACATTGTGATTTATCGGAAAAAATGCGGTTTTAAATTGACAATTTAAATTTTCGCGCGAAAACGAACCTATGGTTGCGATGACGTCACTCCTGTCTGTCACTGGTCGTAATTGTTAGTTGCTGACTTTAAATTTTCATACTTTTGCATATTTTTTCGACTTTCGAAATATTTTTTTGAAAA